ATATATATGTATGTATGTGTTTGTGTTTACTCGTCTGAGAAAACAGTGAGACTGTAGGGTATTGTAAAACCCTCTCGTTTTCGAGTTCTTTCGCACTGCTCTCTACTCCATTGCTATGGCTTCCGACGCTTCCGACGCACTTGCAGGTCACATCGTTCTCTCTTCACTTTCTCTGTATGCATATCTCTTTCTTTATGTGAATCGATTGTTAATTAATTACTCAAGTTCTCTGTCTTTTCTATGTGAGATTGCAGTGAGGCAAAAAGTTCAATTGTTTCTTAATGCTGCTCGAACTGGATCAATTGATCTCTTAAAGAGTATGTATGTATTACGTTTTTGTGTTATGCTATGCTGTATGCCTCTATTGCATTGCATGTTATTACAAGTGTGCTTTTGGTTTTGCAGAGTTGGCGTTGCAGCTGGACGAGGGAAATGATTTGGCGAAATCGGTGGAAGCTATAAAGGACGCGAACAAGCGAGGAGCACTGCATTTTGCCGCGCGTGAAGGCCAAACCGCTGTTTGCGAGTACCTCTTAACCGATTTGAACCTCCCTGTTGATTCTCCAGATGATGATGGTGCTTCTTCTTTCCCTGTCAATATAACTGGTTCATACCTGTAACGTAGTTGGTTGATGATAATCACCCGATTGTTGTTGTTATTGCTTTCTAGGAGAGACCGCCCTCATTCATGCTGCTCGTCAGGGACATACCGGCACTGCTAAATATCTAATTGACTATGGTGCCGATCCCACTATAGCTAGCAATTTAGGGGCTACGGCCTTACACCATGCTGCAGGGATAGGTCTGCATTCCTCGCCTCTCCCACTGCTAAATACTTTACTTTTTATAAAACTAATTAATATATCGTTAAAATGAATGTGTTTTATGTTCATCTATTTTCACTCAAAGTTGATTTTACTCCATGTACATTTCAAATCTATGATTTTGATACCCGTATATAATTGGTGACTGTAGTCCCTTATCCCGGTGTCCTAAGGTTTATAAAGAGGGACGGAATTAGGGAACTAGGCCTATTTTATAAAAAAATGAGGGATTCAAAATATATTTTACCCTTCAAAATTAAATAAATAAATTTTCTATTTTTGTGCAATTATAGAAAAGTATTACTGAGTTCTGCACCTTATTTCTCATTTTCTCTCACTGTTTTAATTTTTGTTGCAGGAGATACTGAACTGCTAAAGTACTTGCTATCCAGGGGATTTAGTCCTGATCTAGAAAGTGATTCAGGGACGCCTTTGGTTTGGGCTGCTGGTCATGCCCAACCAGATGCGGTCAATGTACTGTTGGAACATGGTGCAAATGTATGCCCTCTTTTACTTTGTTGCGTTTTCTTAATATTATTGGCTGGAAGCTTTATCTTAAGGAATTTTATTTAATCAAAAGTTTCTTGTTTCTGAATGAATTTTGAATGCAGTGTATTTCCAGGTGGTAGTATATATTATTCTGTTTTATGTTTTATTTAGATATATACATATACATATATTATTTTTCATATTCTGTCAGTAATTCTATGGTTTAATTGGTGCAACCAGCATAAGCTTTGTTAATCTATCTTGTATGACATGTTTAAAAAAAAATGATCTTTTGATAAATATGTGCCTTCATAGCAGATTTAAATGATCTTTTGGTGATCTTGCTTTGCAGCCTAATGCTGATACTGATGATGGTATTACTCCACTTCTTTCGGCTGTGGCAGCTGGTTCTCTGGCATGTTTAGAGATATTAATTAAGGTACCTTTCTCGATCTATCAACTTTTACTTTCCTGCACTGCAAATTAATATACAATGTATATGTTTTGTATCATGGAACATGAATAAACTATAAAGTGTTTTAGAAGTGCACTTTAAGCCTAACTCAACCCCACAAAACCGGCTTGTAGGATGAGGTTTGCACCCACTTATAAAGTATGAATTGGCCTTATCTCTAGTCGATGTGAGACTTCCAACACACTCCCTCACGCCGAGATATACATATCTCGAACGTGGGATTAGACATTTTTAATGGGTTGTCCGATAGCGACCCGATAGCAGGTGGAACAATATGCCCAACAAACAACAAATTATGGCTAGGAAAGGCTCTAACCAAGGCTCTGATACCAACTTGAGAATTAAACTCTAAAATAATTCTAGAGGGCTTGATTGATCCCTCTCATGATCTTCTATTTATAAGAATAAATTGATACAAAAGTATATAATAAATAGGGTAACCCTAGACACAATATAATCATGATAAATAGGGTAATCCTAGATACAATATAATCATGATAAATAGGGTAATCCTAGACACAATATAATCATGATAAATAGGGTAACCCTTAACACTATAATCATGATAAATAGGGTAACATTTGACACACTATAATGATGATAAAATAGGATAAATATCCTAACATTCCCCCTCAAGCTGGAGCATACAAATTGTATGTACCAAGCTTGGAACAAATAAACTCAATCCGAGGACCCCTTAGTACTTGGTCAATACATCTGCGAGTTGATCGTTTGACCCAATAAACTCAGTACATATTTCTTTAGTCAACAACTTTTCACGAACAAAATGACAATCAATTTCTATATGTTTAGTCCTACGTGAAACACTAGATTTGATGCAATGTGGAGAGCAGCTTGATTGTCGCAATACATCTTCATAGTATGGATGTCATAGAATTTAACCTCTTGAAGGAATTGTTTTACCCATATAAGTTCACATGTTAGTGATGTCATTGCCCTATACTCGGCTTCAGCGGTTGATCGAGCTACTACATTTTGTTTCTTACTTTTCCATGAAATAATGTTTCCTCCCAGAAAAACACAATATCGTGTAGTAGACCGTCTATCAATAGGTGAACTTGCCCAATTTGCATCACAATACCCAGAGACCTGAATGCTTCCTTTATCTTCATATAATAATCCTTGCCCGGGAGTCTTCTTTACATACCTTAGAATGCGAATGAGAGCATTCCAATGGTCAACACATTGAGCCTGCATGAATTGACTAACCACTCCAACTGCAAAGGATAGATCTGGCCTTGTAATAGTGAGATAAATCAATTTTCCAACTAGCCTCCTATAGCTCTCTGGATCGGAGAATAATTCACCTTCTTCTGTCTTTAATTTCTGGTTTGGGTCCATGGGACTGTCTACCGGTCTACCATCAATCATGCTTGTTTCTTGTAATATATCAAGAGCATACTTCCTTTGGGAGATTACAACTCCATCTTTTGATTGTGCTACTTCAATGCCTAAGAAGTATTTGAGACTTCCAAGATCCTTGGTTTGAAAATGTCTACACAAATACTCTTTTAGTTGAGATATTCCAACAACAACATTTCTTGTAATGACAATATCATCAACATATACTATTAAATAAACACATTTCCCGAGAGAAGAATGACAATAAAAAACTGAATGGTCTGCTTCACTGCATTTTAGCCCAAATTTTTGAACAATAGAGCTAAACTTTCCAAACCAAGCATGTGGGGATTGCTTGAGGCCATATAGAGATCGATGCAATTTGCATACCATATCAGACTCCCCCTGAGCAACAAACCCAGGAGGTTGCTCCATATAAACTTCTTCCTCAAGATCACCATGTAAGAAGGCATTCTTGATATCCAATTGATGAAGTGGCCAGTGACGAATGGCTGCCATTGCAAAGAAGAGGCGAATAGTAGTCATCTTGGCTACAGGAGAGAAAGTGTCACAATAATCAAGACCATAAACCTGAGTGTAACCTTTTGCAACAAGCCGAGCTTTGAGCCGATCAATTTCACCATCAGGGCCAACTTTAACTGCATACACCCATCGACAACCAACCGCCTTTTTTCCTGGGGGAAGGGGCACCAGCTCCCAAGTATTACTGTGGTCAAGAGCCTGCATTTCTGCAATCATAGCTTGTCGCCATCCAGGATGATCAAGTGCTTCTTTCACATTCTTGGGTATAACAACAGAGGACACTGAGGATAAAAGAGAAAAATAGGAGGGCGACAATCGATGATAGCTTAGAAAATTATAAATGGGATGAGGGTTCCGAGTGGAACGAGTACCTTTTCTGAGGGCAATAGGCCATGCTGAATCATTTGCACCAGGAGGCGTGGGAGGAGGTGACGAGGGAGAAGAATCTGAAGTAGGAGATTCACCATTGTCTTGGGGAGGTGGACTATCCATTGAGGCCCTGTGTGGGATGATCTCAGTATGTGGAGAAACAGGTGTAGAAGGATTGTGATCAAGACTTGGAATGACAGAGACAGTGGAGCTATTTGACTCAGCCATTGGAATAGGAAGGACTTGCTGGAGGATAGAAACATCCTGAACAGATGGAGAGAAGTAAGGAGTCTGTTCAAAGAATGTAATACTTAAGATTGAAAAGAAATAATTCTTGAGGGCTTAATTGATCCCTCTCACAATCTTCTATTTATAAGAATAAATTGATACACAAATACATGATAAATAGGGTAACCCTAGACACAATATAATCATGATAAATAGGGTAATCCTAGACACAATATAATCATGATAAATAGGGTAACCCTTGACACACTATAATGATGATAAAATAGGATAAATATCCTAACACTCCCCCTCAAGCTGGAGCATACAAATTGTATGTACCAAGCTTGGAACAAATAAACTCAATCCGAGGACCCCTTAATGACTTAGTCAATACATCTGCGAGTTGATCGTTTGACCCAATAAACTCAGTACATATTTCTTTGGTCAACAACTTTTCACGAACAAAATGACAATCAATTTCTATATGTTTAGTCCTCTCGTGAAACACTGGATTTGATGCAATGTGGAGAGCAGCTTGATTGTCGCAATACATCTTCATAGTATGGATGTCACAAAATTTAAGCTCTTGAAGGAATTGTTTCACCCATATAAGTTCACATGTTAATGATGCCATTGCCCTATACTCGGCTTCCGCGGTTGATCGAGCTACTACATTCTGTTTCTTACTTTTCCATGAAATAATGTTTCCTCCCAGAAAAACACAATATCCTGTTGTAGACCGTCTATCAATAGGTGAACCTGCCCAATCTGCATCACAATACCCAGAGACATGAATGCTTCCTTTATCTTCATATAACAATCCTTGCCCGGGAGCCTTCTTTACATACCTTAGAATGCGAATGAGAGCATTCCAATGGTCAACACATGGAGCCTGCATGAACTGACTAACCACTCCAACTGCAAAGGATAGATCTGGCCTTGTAATAGTGAGATAAATCAGTTTGCCAACCAGCCTCCTATACCTCTCTGGATCGGAGAATAATTCACCTTCTTCTGTCCTTAATTTCTGGTTTGGGTCCATGGGACTGTCTACCGGTCTACAATCAATCATGCCTGTTTCTTGTAATATATCAAGAGCATACTTCCTTTGGGAGATTACAACTCCATCTTTTGATTGCGCTACTTCAATGCCTAAGAAGTATTTGAGACTTCCAAGATCCTTGGTTTGAAAATGTCTACACAAGTACTCTTTTAGTTGAGATATTCCAACAGCATCATTTCCTGTAATGACAATATCATCAACATATACTATTAAGTAAACACATTTCCCGAGAGAAGAATGACAATAAAAAACTGAATGGTCTGCTTCACTGCGTTTTAGCCCAAATTTTTGAACAATGGAGCTAAACTTTCCAAACCAAGCACGTGGGGATTGCTTAAGGCCATATAGAGATCGATGCAATTTGCATACCATACCAGACTCCCCCTGAGCAACAAACCCAGGAGGTTGCTCCATATAAACTTCTTCCTCAAGATCACCATGTAGGAAGGCATTCTTGATATCCAATTGATGAAGTGGCCAGTGACGAATGGCTGCCATGGCAAAGAAGAGACGAATAGTAGTCATCTTGGCTACAGGAGAGAAAGTGTCACAATAATCAAGACCATAAACCTGAGTGTAACCTTTGGCAACAAGCCGAGCTTTGAGCCGATCAATTTCACCATCAGGGCCAACTTTAACTGCATACACCCATCGACAACCAACCGCCTTTTTTCCTGGGGGAAGGGGCACCAGCTCCCAAGTATTACTGTGGTCAAGAGCCTGCATTTCTGCAATCATAGCTTGTCGCCATCCAGGATGATCAAGTGCTTCTTTCACATTCTTGGGTATAACAACAGAGGACACTGAGGATAAAAGAGAAAAATAGGAGGGCGACAATCGATGATAGCTTAGAAAATTATAAATGGGATGAGGGTTCCGAGTGGAACGAGTACCTTTTCTGAGGGCAATAGGCCATGCTGAATCATTTTCACCAGGAGGCGTGGGAGGAGGTGACGAGGGAGAAGAATCTGAAGTAGGAGATTCACCATTGTCTTGGGGAGGTGGACTATCCATTGGGGCCCTGTGTGGGATGATCTCAGTATGTGGAGAAACGGGTGTAGGAGGATTGTGATCAAGACTTGGATTGACAGAGACAGTGGAGCTATTTGACTCAGCCATTGGAATAGGAAGGACCTGCTGAAGGATAGAAACATCCTGAACAGATGAAGAGAAGTAAGGCGTCTGTTCAAAGAATGTGACATTGGCAGACATGTAATACTTCTTGGTTTCAGGAGAGTAACACCGATATCCTTTTTGAAGTCGAGAATAGCCTAAAAAGACACATTTGAGAGCGCGAGCGGAGAGTTTGTCTAGACCTGGAGACATGTCATGAACAAAACATACACAGCCAAACACTCGGGGATATGTATGAAAGAGAGGATAATTAGGAAACACAATGGAGAAAGGGACTTTATTACCAAGAGAGGAGGTGGGCATCCTATTAATAAGATGACATGCAGTTAAGATGGCATCCCCCAGTGATGGACATGAATATGGGCACGAAGCAAAAGGCTACAAGCAGTCTCAACCAAGTGTCTATTTTTTCGTTCTGCTATACCATTTTGTTGCGGTGTATGAGGACAAATAGACTGATGTAAGATACCATGGGAACTCAAGATGGCAAAAAAGGAGGATGAAAAATACTCTTTTGCATTATCACTTCTTAATATTTTGATTACTTGAGCAAATTGATTCTTGATTTCAATCAAAAAAGATGTTAAGATAGTTAACAATTCAGAACGATTTTTCATAAGATAAACCCAAGTACATCTTGAATATTCAAAGGTAACAAAATATCTAAAACCAAAGTTGGAGATACGACTAGGTCCCCATATATCAGAATGAATGATGGAAAAACTAGAATTACATATTGATTGAGACCTTTTAGGAAAGGAAGATCTAACCTGTTTTTCTAATTGACATGACTCACATTCTAAGGTTCGGAGACCACTAAGTTCAGGACACATCTTTTTTAATTTGGACAAATGAGGATGGCCAAGTCGATCATGTAGCACTTTAAGATTATGAGCAGCAACACAGGACACCCTTGGACGAGATCCAAAATGGTATAATCCGCCAGCTTCATATTCTTCTCCAATCTGTCTCCCCGAACCACGCTCCTGTATAACAAAAGATTTATGATCATATTGAACAATTTAACATTTTGGTCAACTAGCTTAGGGAAATTAAATTAAAAGGACAATCAGGGACAAAAAGGACATAGTTGAGATTGAGGGAGGGAGACAAAGAAACATGACCGACTCCTTTGGAGGAAGTTTTAGATCCATTTGCAAGGGTTATGAAATGAGGTTTTTCTCGAAAGGAAATGGATAAAAACAAAGAGTATTGCCATAGATTGAGAAACGCAGGCTGTTGATGTACTGGGAGATTGAGATGGTTGTGCCAAGCTGTTAGACTTTAACCTTAAATACTCTTGATATTCATCCTCAGAAAGCATAGAAGTGGAAGTTTCAGTCTTCAAAATATTGGCGGTTTTGGAAGGGAAACCATGTAAGGAGTAGCAATTCTCTTGAGTGTGACCCATCTTTTTACAGTATGTGCATTGAGGACGTCCCCAACCTCCTCGTCCTCCTCTTGTAGCGCCACGTCCTCTTCTTCCTCATGTGGCAACCATGACAGATGGTTCCATTAGTTCATGCGCTTCTTGAGTTTGAGGTACCGGGACACGCAGAAGGCGAGTGGTCAATGTTTTGCATGGAGGGGACCTCATGACTAGTTAGAAGTTGATTTCTGAGATGATCAAAATCGGGATGTAGGGCACGAAGGATCAACACCATGTAAAATTTGTCTAGTTTCTTTTTAATATCCTCTAATGGGTCTGCTTCTAAAAACATCCTGAGTTCTTCGACAGTAGCTTGGGCTTCAGCCATGAAGGACACCATATTATGGTCTGCTATTTTAAGAGATGCAAGCTTGTTCGTAGTGTCATAGAGACGTTGAATATCGTTGGCATAAATGCTTTGGGCTTTCTTCCAAAATAAGTGACATGTTTTGAAAGCCCTCAAAGATACAAGAAGTTTGGGTTCCACTGATTGCCATAACAGGGCACACAACTGGAAATCTTCCGGAGAAGGAAAGAGTATTGCCAGATGCCATTTCTGAAGAAGACGAATAGTACCAGTGAGGAACAAGAAAACCCCAAGGGTTTAGACGAACGGAACTATGATAGTGATGGATGACGATGGCCGGCGACGATGGACGGTGGACGGTGGCGGACGGTGGTCGGCTGCGGGCAGTGGCAGACGGTGGCGGGCGGCGACAGACTGTGGTGTCGGACAGATATCACGAGACAGAAGCCAGAGTGGGATCGACCCTTAGAAGTGGACTTTAAGCCTAACTCAACCCCACAAAAGCGGCTTGTAGGATGAGGTCTGCACCCACTTATAAAGTATGAATTGGCCTTATCTCTAGTCGATGTGGGACTTCCAACAGAGTGCATGGATGATATTATGATACTCCAACATGAAAACTCTAGAAAATTTATCAATACTAACTTTGACGGAGACATGATGTAGATCAATAAATAAACATACAACCAACATTCTTTGCAACAATCAAGGGCACAATTAATCATTTGATCTTATTTTATTAATTGATGCACTGTAGTCGTAATAATGTCATAGGCAGGAAACTTCATGAATGACAATGTGATTTTGTTGACAATTTATTATCAAGTTATGTATTCATCAATATTAGTTATTTCAAAGTACATGTCTAGTATTACAAAAGTGTTCCATTACAGGATGCTAATGGGAGGGAGCTTGTTAAGTTATTAACCAACTAAATCTAGATAATGAAAAAGAAAAGGCAGACTCACATTAGTAAAGTAATATTTTTGATGTGACGGTAAGCTGGATGTATCTTATTGAAGAACACACTTTTGCCTGAAAGATATCTATACATATAGGCACGCCAAGCCCTTGATGAGTACTCATGGAAGTTTTGTTATGATAGTCAAATGATTAATGGATAAGTATGACTTTTTTTCTTAGAACATACTTAGATAGGAAAGTTTCTGATATACATGTATATAAATCTTGTTTAAGGAATGAGATTCATAATGTTTTATGGAAAAGAAATATGTCGCAACATGGTGTGATATGTAATGTAGCATACATTCTTTCAATACACTGGTTTTAGACAGTTGTTTTACTGGTTTTATGTGAAGATGGATTTGTTTGTAGATGTATAAGTTTGTAAGGTGCTGCTTTCTTAATGTATATTTTTTGTCTCATGCTATACCCTTACATTTGAATATTTATATGCAGGCAGGTGCTAAAGTAAATATAAGTGCAGGTGGAGCAACACCTTTGCATATCGCAGCTGACAATGGAAGTCTAGAACTAATAAATTGCTTGATGAAAGCAGGAGCTGATCCTAATGTCTCTGATGAGGTGAAACATTTTAAGTACTAGTATTTTATCGTACTGTTAGGGTGAGAATCGATGAACAACAAAATAGTTCTTAGGGTTAAATTATCTGGAACCCAATAGCGTATGACTAATGGCTCTTTTCTCGACACTAGTAGTGGTAATTGTAGTTAACAATATACTTCAGTTAATATTTGGAATAAAACGTGGCATCTGGGTGCATCACAGGATGGGGTCAAGCCAATACAGGTTGCTGCTGCAAGGGGCTTTGTAGGTGCAGTTGAGGTATTGTTTCCTTTGACATCCAAAGTGGATACTTTTCCAACTTGGACTGTTAGTGGGATACTTGAGCATATGCAATCTGAAACTAACAAGCAACAGGTACGGAATTCTTAAACTTTTCTTTTATAGTGACCTGGACTAAGCAAGACCATCTCTCTAATACAAGAGCCTTCCATAACTATTTTCTATTTTTTGAATGTGTCACCATATGAAATCATGCTTGAAAAATTACACCATTCCCTTTAATATACAAATATTTGCCATGTAGGTTGTCCGGATAGAAATGTATCATTGCATTTATCTGTTTAATTTAAAATGTCTAACTAACAGAAGACACGGTCCACGTAAGCTGACCAGCAAATATTCCATCTTTCATATAAAAAATATTAGGCTTTATATTCTTCTGCCACCACTAAATTCTTGATCCTTTTACTGGTTTTGCCCACAAGTTTTACCAGCATATGCTTTGATCATTTTGTACTCATTTTCATGGTTAAGAATTTGACAGTTGATATTTTCTAATGCTGTTTGCATTCTGTCGGAGAAAGTGGGTTTCTTGTTTTTATTACTAAGTATGATGAGCAATAATATGCAGGATGAATTGGTAAATGCCAAAGAAGCTAATCAGGCCAAGGATGCTGTTTTTTCGGAGAAAAATATTCTCGAGGTATGTTTTTTTTTTTGTATTCAACTTTCATTAGCTGTGGTAGTCAAACTCAGGGTTATACTTGGATCAGGATGGGGTTACAAGATTGTAAATTGCGGGATTTGTAAGATTGTACATAATTATAAAAGTCATATACATGGCTATAAAATAAGATACATAATATAGAAACCTTCAAATCACAAAACAACTAGTTAGTTAAACTGTTCATAATCACAAGATAGAAAGTAAGTCAATCTAGTCATAATAGGTCATAACATCAGAAGTGACAAAACAAAACCTAAGCTAGTAGGCAATGGCCTAACACATACCAAATAATAAGAGATGAAATCCTAAATGGTCGCCAGGCCTCTAATAGAGAGATCTTTCAGAGAAAAGAGTAGAAAAACAAGCGAAATATTTATTTGTTGTATCTTTTCCATGTCCTTCACCTACCATATTAGTAAGAACATCCTCCTCCTCCAACGGTAGCACCACAAGAATATAATATTATTGCTTCCAACTTTGTTTGTATGTTCAAACATTCATCTCCACTCCCTCCACTCACATTGGATGAAACATTATCAAGTCTAACTCTTTGAGTGATCTTCTTGCTAGGTTTTTATTGGTCGATTTTGTATTGACCATGACAAAAACACCCCACTCATTGTATTTTGCTCCAAAGATTTATTTTTTAAAATATTTTACATTTATGTTCTTTTTACCCTTTTTACATATTTATTTTTTTAGTATATCTATTACAGTATGCTTTATTCCACAATTAAAGTTCCTCTAAACTTCTAAATAATTTATTATCATTAATAATTTTAATACGATGGATGCTGTACTAGTTCTTACTAAAAGGATTTTAATGGGAACCTTCTTGGATTCTATTGATCATTCTTCTGCCTGATTATATAGAACCAATTTGTGGACATTCTTGAACTCTCTTAGAAGATATTTGAGCCTTTATTTAATACATTGTCAAAATGATAATCCAAAATTAATTGTTCATCTGTATAATAAAAAGGAAGTTTTGAGGAGTGTTAGAAACACACTCTTTTTTGTTAAAATTTATTGAAAGCCATCAAATCACTTGAAAGATTTCATTAAAAAAGATGTGGAATCTAGAAATTTGTGATTTTCATTTAATTTCAACAAATAGAAGGGACTGTATTTAAACGAGTATATCAAATAGTATGTTCCTAGCATTTTTAATTTTTATTTGTCTGTCAACTCATCTAGGTGGCTCCTGAAGCCAAAAAGAGAGCAGCAGAAGCAAAGTCAAGAGGGGATGAGGCCTTTCGAAGGAAAGACTTTCAAATGGCTATGGATTCTTATACGCAAGTAAGGTCTTCTGATCCATGATTTGCCTCCTACGTTACTTATATTTGTTGCACAAGTTATGATAACCCCTTCTGTTAACTTGTATGTCTCAATGATGTTTCTGTGAACTTATGCAGTGTCTACCGACATGCGCATGCTTATCTTATCTAGTGCTGGTTGACAAAAAGAATGCTTATACTTCATTCTCTGTGATGATAATTTTGTTTGTTCTTTTACTTTTTTAAAAATGTGTTTACAGGCAATTGATCTGGATCCCTCTGATGCTACTTTGCTATCCAATAGAAGTCTCTGCTGGATTAGGTTGGGCCAAGCTGAGCATGCTTTAGCTGATGCAAAGGCCTGTAGAGCTTTAAGACCAGATTGGGCAAAAGCTTGTTATAGGGAAGGCGCAGCTCTGCGTGTGTTGCAGGCATGATATTCAGAAAAACTTTGCCCTTATTAACAGTAGTATATGTGATTGACATTTCTAAAACTATACTTGGCTTTCCTTGTTGCAGAAATTTGATGAAGCTGCAAATGCTTTTTATGAGGGAGTAATGCTTGATCCTGAAAATCAGGAGCTTGTAAATGCCTTCAGGTCTGCATACTATTTTATTTATCGACACTTAATGGCATATTGACGTTATTACACTATGCAAAAGGAATTATTATGATCAACATAGTTTCTGTGTCATGGTTTGAGGCAAACATAATTTACTGAAACATGCAGTATTCACATTTCAATGTAAATATGCATACGTGATGTCTCATCATGACATTGATAGAAAAAAAAAAGTAGAATCACCGATGAAACCCATGTTAGTGCCTCAGAATAGGAGAAAAGTGTAACTTACGAAATCTTAACAGAAACTATTGCATCCTTGTCTAACAGTTGTGATTGCTACTCGAGGATTTATAAATGTGACTACACTGCAAAGCTAACACAGATAGTGGCCTTCAATCTTTTACAGGGAAGCTGTGGAGGCTGGGAAGAAATTTCATGGAACAGCTGAAAAGACTTCATAGTTGTTGGGCCTTCTATTTATCCCGCATTGGTGTACGTGTTTTATTTGACGAGGCACGGTCCAAAAGATTCATTAGTTAGAAAGGTTATGCATATTAGAAATTTGGCGCAATATGAAATGCGGGCAAATTGCTTGTCAAATTTCTTTCGCCAATTTCTAGTTTTGGTGATGTTGTATGATTGGTTTTATAGGTTCATTGTCCCATACTGGCATAGGCTTGTTTGTTCTAAAATTCAGGAAAAAAAAAATGATTTTGATATAATTAATTCGGATAGTGTCTATTGATAAGTGAGATTAGAGATACGCATAAAAACAATTCTCGTTGAGCATTGTCTGAAAGATTATTCTTTAAGTAATGGTAAAATGGATTTCTTGAAATTCATGTTGGACTGCGTTAATGTTTTCAAATAAGCGTTTTATTTAAACAACCTTCGTAAATTGCGAAAGTTAGGAGAGAGAAAAAAACCTTGACAGAGGCAAATATATGTAACTCTAGCTGACAAGGACTTCCTTGCATTTTTAGAAGATTTTTCTATTTGTCCGCTAAATTCTCTGAAAATCATAGTTGGAGTACATTAATATATGCTTGCATTGTAAAAAGGACTTTCTATTTACCTTACTAAAATCCATTCAAATGGTGTAATAGAAAAGCCTAATCCTAAAAGCATGTTCCTAACGTAGTATATTTGGTGGAGAGGATGGAAAACAAACAATTTTAGAGAATGAAGAGACTTATTGTATTCTTCATCATCTATTTCTAGCTAACAACTTACTTATTTTTATTCAACCTATTTCTCTTTTTTCTTACTAAGCAAAACATTAGGTAGTGTTTGATAGAGCTGAAAGAGAAATGAATGAAAAAGATAATTGTTTTGTTGAAGAGAAACAAATTAAAAACGATATCTTGCTCTTATTTATATGAGATCAATTAGGCCGTCATATATCCATATAAGTCCAGGAAGTAATTTACTATTAAATATTTTTTTTATTAACAATATAAAAGGTCCGGGACTACAAGAGATAGCAAATCCAACATCATAGACCCCCGAAAGGATATCTTAAGATGATGTCATTCTTAGTCCATTAGCGTAAAAATCACTGTGAACAATTTATCATAACTAATTATAACACTAATAATTATTACGAGTCTCATCTATTGAATTTTATGGTATTGGCATTTTTTAGTTATGTATTTCTTTTAAAGAAAAAAAAAAGAATTTTGATTTAAAAGAGTTATTTGGGTCCCAACCCAACTCAACTCATAATTGTAATTTACTCGAGCAACCTTAGGTTAGGACTACTTTGCCGACTCCGGAGAAACCTGATTCCCTTGTATATACGCTACTAAAGCATACTTAGAGTGACCGTATTAGACACGCAACAAACAAAGACAAACAAAACGGACAATAAAACCATTTTATACAAAACATAAAATCAATGCTAATACTAAATAATTAATCCTGACAAATCCAGAACAGGTTTTTATAATAGCATCCCTTTATTTATTTTATTATTGTTATAAGAAATAACCCACTCCTACATCCTTCTTTATTGAAATTAGTGTCACCACATACATGAGGCAATTAATTATAGGAAGTGCTTAGTCACCACAGTCCACAAAGTCGTAGTTAACAATAAGATGACCTTGCGCATAGCCATTCCCATCTGTATCTATCGTCTGGAATGGACTAATATCCAAATCCAAGCCCCCGTTGGCGCACTTGTCAACGATTCTCACCGTTATTTGAGCGTTCGTTCTCGTGTTTGTCACCTGCAACCAAACACAATCATTACATCATTAATGATAATTACAACTTTTTTTTAACAACCTTTTACGATAGATTACGTTATTGGTTGTAACAACATTTTTCATAGAATTTTAAGAAATGCGTACCCTTAAACACCTGCCACAAGCTTGTTCTCCCTGAGGGCCAGAAGGTCCACAGAAAGCTGTCCAAGGATATTTGCTGCGCCATGCGAAGGATTTGTCAGCATCCCAAGTGGAGCAATACGCACTCACTGCGCGTAAGTCCCAGTTATGCTGCTCGGGTTGGTACAAATGGTACGTAGATCTCACATTGCTCGCACTCTGAGCTGAAACCAAAGCCACTACACAAACCAAACACACCACAAACACAGATACTTTTCCCATTATCCTTCTTCTCTGCATTTCGCTTCATCCAATCGCTTCTCCTCTTATAGGGATTCTCTAGGATCACGAAATTATGAAAATGCCCTTTGTTTGAAAAGTATGATAGATATCATGCATGGGTTGCCTCTGACGCTGGACACATTGCTTGTGGTGACCAACATCTTACTTCTTCTCAGAATATTCAAAGTCTTCCACTCACAAACTAATGTTGTTTGTTGAAAATTCTCTCGCAGATATGTCATTCTTATTAGACTAACAGAAGGTTCTATTACGAAAATAAGCTCTTATATATTACAAAAATAGATAGATTTTAAAAAATATATATTAAAAAAANGAATTTTAAGAAATACGTACCCTTAAACACCTGCCACAAGCTTGTTCTCCCTGAGGGCCAGAAGGTCCACAGAAAGCTGTCCAAGGATATTTGCTGCGCCATGCGAAGGATTTGTCAGCATCCCAAGTGGAGCAATACGCACTCACTGCGCGTAAGTCCCAGTTATGCTGCTCGGGTTGGTACAAATGGTACGTAGATCTCACATTGCTCGCACTCTGAGCTGAAACCAAAGCCACTACACAAACCAAACACACCACAAACACAGATACTTTTTCCATTATCCTTCTTCTCTGCATTTCGCTTCATCCAATCGCTTCTCCTCTTATAGGGATTCTCTAGGATCACGAAATTATGAAAATGCCCTTTGTTTGAAAAGTATGATAGATATCATGCATGGGTTGCCTCTGACGCTGGACACATTGCTTGTGGTGACCAACATCTTACTTCTTCTCAGAATATTCAAAGTCTTCCACTCACAAACTAATGTTGTTTGTTGAAAATTCTCTCGCAGATATGTCATTCTTATTAGACTAACAGAAGGTTCTATTACGAAAATAAGCTCTTATATATTACAAAAATAGATAGATTTTAAAAAATATATATTAAAAAAATATATAGATTTTATAAAGTATATGAAAATAGATAAGTCAAGTAGACTCCACGAGATTTTATATGAAACTCATACACTTTTTAAACAGCTTTAACATAATATTGTATTCGCTTACGATAATTTGGTACTTTAATTATGACATATTTAAAAAGTTAATATTGTGTACTCTTTAAAATTTACCTATTTTTATAATATAGAAAGTAAATTTATCTATTTTTCTATAAAAACTCTGATAAAAAGAAAAAATATACTAACTTTCCTTCTTTAAATTTTGTTATTTCTAGTTTAAGTGAGAATTTTAATATGTTCTAATGATAAAATTAATATGAAAAAACTCTGAATGATTCCAATAACATTAAAAAAATGAGTTTAACCTTAATTTATTCTTACAAAATAAATTATTAAAAGAATATTAATTTCATATTATAAATTTATTTTTATTTCTAATTAACATGAAATAAGAGAAATAAAATTTTCCTCGGTCACAAACATAAACGTGATAGGGTATCCTATCAATGTTAATAAAATATACAAGTATTTATAAATGAACGATAATATAAAAAATGTATTATTGTGAATATCTTATTTTATTTAACTTTTTGTAGTTAATACATATATTTATAAAGATGTCAGCATGAAAAATGAAAGACTAAGCAGTCTATATGTTGTATAATTAAAGTGCTTTAAAAAATTGGGAAAAGATGATTTTGGATTTGATTAAAATTTGATTTCATCTTATTTTAATCAAAAAATGCTGTTGTTTTTTTCTCCTTGTAGTCTTAAAGATTGAAACGTAAGTTATTTTGTTTGTCTCCGAAAATTTCGCAACCAGATGCAGCCAAAACAAAATTCCCGCAACCTGTACGATGAATTCATCCACTTCTTCCTCGTGTTTCTGAGGTGCCATTAGCACAAATTTTCCAAGGTCACCAATTAATAATTAAGTGTGATATATTGATTTCTTTTGGAATTTAATATAAAAATTAATTGTCTCCTTAGATTCTTTTTATAAAAACAATAGGAATGATTTGACAATTAATATATATGGGTTTGCTAAACGCGCATGTTTTTCAGTTGGTACATTTTAGTAGACAAAAATACTCTTGCATAATATGCATTCTAATTTTTAAGGTTAAGGGTATTTTAATAATTTTCATTCTCAAAACTAAGAAACGAAACCTCCAAACCCTTGTTCACCTCCCTCATTCCTTTCCACCCTTTCTCTTTCATCTCTCTCACTCCAACATTTTCTCTATCATCCTATGGTAACCCCAACTGAAAAAAAATCAGAAACACTGGTTGTTAAACAATCTTACAAAAAATGATTTTATAATGAGTTTTCATTTTATAATTTTTGTCTTATCTAATTTTATGCAATTTTCACAAGCATAAAGGAATTGGTAATTGACCTGGAAAAAATCAGAAACACTCGCTCTTAAACAATTTCTTACAAAAAAATTGATTTTATAATGAGTTTTCATTTTATAATTTTTGTCTTATCTAATTTTCACATACATAATGACATCAAAGGAATTGGTAATTGGCCTCGAAAAAAATCAGAAACACTAATTGTTAAACAATTTCTTATAAAGAATGATTTTATAATGGGTTTTCATTTTATAATTTTATCGTATATAATTTTATCTAATTTTCACAAGAATAATGACATCCGAAAGAATTGGTAATTGGTCTGGAGAGTTTTTTTTAGAGATGATGATTCAACATATGCAGATGATGAAATTAGTGAGGTCAGTGAAGATGGCGAAATTGAAGAGATCTTGAATGAACCTTTGCAAGGTGAATATGTCAATGACTCAACCTTTACAGAGGAAAATTGTAACGGCAAGTGTTTCTGATTTTTTCAATTGGGGTTACAGTAAAGGTGACAGAGAAAAGGTTGGAGTGTGAGAGATGAAAGAAAAAGGGTTGAGAGTAATGAGAGAGATGAGTAAGATTTTGGGGTTTCTTTTTTTAAGTTTTGAGAATGAAAATTATTAAAATACCCTTAACCTTAAAACTTAGAATTCATGATATATAAGGGTATTTTTGTCTACTAAAACTCGATACACATTGCTAAAATGTACTGAAAAACAGGCGTACGTGTGTTAACAAACTCCATATATATATATATATATGTATGTGTATATATATATGTATGTGTATATATATGTATGTATATATGTATGTATATATGTATGTATGTATATATGTATGTATGTATATATATATGTATATATATATATATATATATGTATATATATATATATATATGTGTATATAT